CAGCCACCGCAGCCTGGACCAGCTGGGCTCCACTATCCATCCGCCTCAGCCTTCCAAGTAGCTGGAACTACAGGCATGAACTACCATGCCCAGCTAATTTTTGATTTATTGGAGACATGAGGGCTTGCCAAGTTGCCCGGATGGATCTTGAACCTGCAGGCTCAGGCAATCCTCTAGCCTCGGCCTCCCAAAGTGCTGGGATTACAGGCTGATGCGTTCATCTTAACATCGAACTCTGAGTATTTATAATCAGCAGGGAGAATGAAAGCCATTAATCCTGGGGAGCTATAAAATCACTATCATAAATTTAATAAGTTTCATATGTTTGGAGTGGCAATTGTCCCTAAACTGAACTATGCCTTCAGGTTTTCCATCTGTAAAATAGAGGTAAGAGTCTACTCTCACCCTCTTAGGAATAGCACTATTATGATTCAGAGGAAAGAGTGCTGAGGTTAGGCGATGGTGTCCACGATGCATGGTGGTCTTCTCAGGATGATGCACAGCCCAAGTGAAGTGTGGTAGGACTCTCTGAGGCACCCTTTCTGTGCGAATGGTGAGCTCTATCCTCATCTTTGACTAGCTGCACAGTTCTTGGAAAAATCAGTTCCTTTCTCTCCCTTCCAAAATGAGAAATTCATATTAAGCATTCTAAGTCATCTCTGAGGTTAAGAATGCTACGCCTTTTTCAGAAACGAATTTAGTAGCCCTCGTCTTCTACCAGAAGTTGCCAGATAAAAGGAGACTTCACATGTACTACGTACAGAAGGGAATTGGGCACGTGCTGCCCACAGCAGGGATGTGGTGTCAATATATCATAGCACCACACACCAAGGTGGAACTCAAAGAGAGTGAACATGTCTGGATGGAGACAAGAACCCTAGGGAAGTAGAGGCATATAGATTACTTGGACACTTTTTCACAAGTATAATTATCAATTTTTGTTCAAAGATGGAACCTATTACTAGGTATTCTTTTGAGGCTTCTTAAGCCCTCTGACCCATAGTCACACATCAGCAAGGAGGGACTGGAAAAATAAATGGGGGGGTTTCCTCGTTTGTTTTTTTTTTTTTGAGTTAGAGTCTCACTCTGTTGCCCAGACTGGAGTGCAATGGCCGCTCCCGGCCACCGCAGCCTTGACCTGCTGGGCTCCGGCGATCCTTCCGCCTCAGCCTTCCAAGTAGCTGCAACTACAGGCATGCGCTACCAAGCCCAGCTAATTTTTTTTTTTTTTTGATTTATTGTAGAGATGAGGTCTCGCCAAGTTGCCCAGGCGGGTCTTGAACCCGCGGGCTCAGGCAATGGGGGGTTTCCTCTTATGCCTCTTGGATATGTTAGTCCCTCTGAGGATAGACTCAAGTGTAGCAGGTGAAGGGTTGCCTCTGTATCCCCTGGATGGTCATGCCAAGTTCAAGGCAGACCACCTTGGAATCTGCATCTGTCTACAAATGCCATCATACTTCTTAGTTGTAGAAAGAGTCACAGGGTTGCCAGTCAAAGACTTTATGAAATGTCTGGTTTTGGGCAAACTACTCTAGATCTCTGAGCTGATAGATGTAAAGATCAAAAGAAATAGAAGTTAATAGAATGTTTTGTTCTATAGCTACAAATCTTTTTCTACTCAAATATTGTTTCAGAGATATTTATTTATTTATTTATTTTGAGTTGGAGTCTCACTCTGCCACCCAAACTGGAGTGCAGTGGCATGCTCACAGCTATTGCAGCCTCGACCTGCTGGGCTCCGGCGATCCTTCCACCTCAGCCTTCCAAGTAGCCGGAACTACACGCATGCTCTACCACGCGGGGCTAATTTTTGATTTATTGTAGAGACAAGGTCTCACCAAGTTGCCTGGGTATGTCTTGAACCCGCAAGCTCTGGCAATCTACTCGCCTCGGTCTCCCAAAGTGCTGGGATTTCAGGCTGAGCCCCAGAGCTCGGCGAAGGGAAGATTTTTTTAAATGAACTCTCTAAGACTGATGATCCCTTTGTCAGGGATATTTGAAGAAGGGGCAACAGTATAGGCCAGAGGGGACAATGAACCACAGTCCTACAACTTGGAAGTGACATTCTTGGGAGAAAGCTCTGCTTTCCACGCCCGTGCCTGCCCCAGTCATACCTGGGCTCTTCTCTCCACCTTGACTTGGTGACAGATCACTCGACCCATTCTGGATCTTGGTTTGGCTTTGTCTCTGCCTGTGCAGTCCCTAACTGTTGTGGCCTGGGGGTTAACTGTTGGCACAGAAAGGGTGCCTCAGAGAGTTATTTGATTTGTGAGTCATGGCAACAATGGTGATGCAACCTATGGCCACTGTAGTCTGAGCGCCCACATCTGGCTTATAGCCCATGGCAGCCTTGCAAATGCAGTACCTCAGGTGCTCCAACAAGCAGAACCAACAGAACCAGGGATTAAGGAGTCTCTTCAGTTAAACGAAACCTAAATCTCTACCTCCAGCCCAACTACTCAGAGCTTTTGCTTTACTAAGAGCAGAGAGACTATTTAAGTGTCAATTTAAACAGCTGCTTGTGCCATTGTGGTGCAAGGAAAATGCACAGGCTTGTGAGGCAGACCATTCATTTAGGGGGGTTAAAAGTTTTGCCAAAAGGCCAATCATCTAGTAATTGAACACGTTCCTGTAGCCTCCTTTGCATTCAGGTACTAAGGGGTCCAAAGTAAATGGGTCCATTTTCAGCATGGACCTCCCACACACAGGACTGCTTGACAGTCAGCCTATCAGCTACGCCTCCCCACACCCCGCCCCATCTCACCCCAGCTCCATGTGATTCCAGCTTCATGTTTGAAGGAAAAGAGCCATCAAGTGTGTCTAGGACGTTTAGACACTAAATAAAGATTATGATGAAACTATCATTCACGAAATTAAAACTACCCTTTTTCCTTAAATGTTCTCACTGATAGACTCATTTTGATTTCCTGAGTTATACTGAGACCACATGTGTGTGTGTGTGCATGTGTGTGTGTGTGTGTGTGTGTGTGTGTGTGTGTGTGTGTGGAAGTAACTGACCCAACACAACAGAATGTGTTGGCTTAGTCTATAGTGGCCAGTGTATTCCAAGTATTTCATAGTCTATCCCAAATCTTGCAATTGTTTGTACATCTTGGTTAGATGGCTCATTAAGTCAGCCAAAATGACGAGGTCTACAGTCCCATTGACTCCTTTGTTTCCTCATGTATAGATAATACCCAGAAGACTTGAGCCTCAAAGAACATAATGACTGGGTTTGAAAAATCTTAAGGAACCACTGCAAAAACTTAACTACCACTTGCAATATAAATGTTATATCTTTGCTTTCATGTTAATTCCCTCTCATATTTTACGAGACTATATTACAGTTAAAACTGGAAACATAGCCAGACACAGCCAACACAAGTCATTATTCATTGAATTATTCATTCAAGTTCCTTAACTTTAAAGCCACCAACCAGTTCCTACAATAATTACCACACTGCAATATAAGTACATAAAATTTGTTGCAGTTCTGAAGAACAAAACTATATGCTTTTCTGTGCTTTCATAATACATTGCCTTAAAAACAAATATCTGCAATTCAACCTAAAACATCCAAATTTCCAACTTCCAAGCAAAGTCACCACAAGAAGGAATTATTTCTGCATGAAGTTGGTAAAAGTAACAGCTTTTTAAATCCGGTGTAATTATCTTGTGCTATTGAGGTGCCGTTTCTTAGCAAAGCAACCAGAAGTCCCAAATTTCTCAGGTTGTCCTGATTTTGAATGCCCTGACCCATTACCAACCTTTGTATTCAGACAAAGTATCCCATCTTATGGTTCTGATAAAATGAGCCATATTTAATTTATGTCAGTCTACAATTTAATTTAAAGAAAAACAGTGTTTGTGCTTCAGAGATGGTGTAAAAACAGAAAGAAGGAAAGAAAGAAATTAAGAAAGAAAGGAAGAAGGAAGAGAAGGGAAGGGAAGGAAGGAAGGGAAAGAAAAAGAAAAAGAGAAGAAAAGAAGGTGAGAGAAAGAGGGAAAGAACAAAGGAAGGATGGAGAAAGGAAAGAAGGAAGAAAAAGAAATAAAGGTAGCACAAGCAGTTCCTATGAAAAACAAAAGCATCACCATCCTAACTTATCTTTATTGAAACTGCAATTTTCTAAAGTCTTTTCTTAAATCTGCTGTATCTCTGTGTAATGTTATTTTCAAGCTCAGTGAGGAAGATTTTTACTTCATCCTCATAAAACATCTTTTCATGCATTTTGTGTACCCCATGTGGGTTTATAATTACACAATCTTAATTGAAGGGGTACAGATGAAATAACAATCGTTTCTCATCTGCAACTTCAATTTTCTAGAAAGACATTTAAGTCTTCAATTCCTGGGTACCTGAAAAAAGCAAACAAGGTACAGATGGCTGTAATTTTTCCTATTTTTAGTTTTGAAAGGAATCTTTTCTTACGGCAGTGCAAACAAATAGAAAAATGCTTGTTTTTGTATATAAAAATAAAAAAATAAAAAAAAAAAACAACAGTCCTTGAATACTTGTAACAAAAGACTGGAATTGACATTGGATTTAAAAGCTGAAGTTTGGAAGTAAAATAATTTTACTACTCTTTAAATATTTTAGCAGTTTAAAAATACACTAGAAAGTAAATACTCATATCTCCCTAATAGTGAACCCCACTCGGAGTGACATTCTACATACTCCTATTTTGCCACAATGTGGATTTTCCCCTTCAAATGAAAACCTACAGAAAGAAACTCTGAAAAGGATAGATTGTTCCCCCTTCCATTCTCATGTCAATAAAATATTTTGACTGAACTGTTTTCTGATTACAAAATTCATATTCAGTTTTTATTTTTAAATTCTAGAAGCAGTTACTTAAAAGATTGCATTATATTATTAAAAGTTAGCCAAAATCAAGTAATGAGACCTTTAAAACGAACACATTTCAAAGAATTTCATTCTCTTCAATAGTTGCATGAGTTTTATTTTTTCCAGGAAAATGTGCAAATATCAAGGTTACCTGGGTCTGCTGGTCACTTCTAGTTTTTGGACTCTTGAAGATGGTGAGTTTTGCTAATGATGCGCTGCTGTTTAAGAAGCGGGTGGCTTTTCTGGCAATCACTCTTTGTGTGCCATCTTTTATAAAGGTGCTTCTTGTTGCTAAGAGATCAGTTGCTTAGAGACCAAATCATTTAAAAAAATATATATGTCAGGGGCCAACATAAATTATAACCAAATTTTGTCATTTCAGCTCGCCCTCTGAATGTTTGGTTTTTGTAATAGATCGTAGCGTACCAAGAGAAGCCAATTACTAATCACAAATAGAAAATGAACCATGAGGAGGAAAAAAGATCTGTGCGTACGTTCCCATGGACAGAGAGTAATGCCACGACTCCCTTGAATGGAGTTACATAGTCACTAGACTCTTGGAAACTTTGGACCCCTCACAGACATATGCTGTGAATATAGGTTTCTGCACACACACAGAGCCCTGTCCCCGGCAAACTTGAGTGCAGTTTGGAGTATGAAAACATGTGGGAATTGTGAAACTGCTTTAGTCTTTTCCCAAGGAAAATTAAGATAAAAATGTTATGCTTAGGAAAATATAAGTTGGAAGTCTAAAGTGATCTTAGCTTTCGGCCAGATGTTTTTATGTGTGAATATTATTAAGTTGTCACTGCTTCAGGTCCAGCTATGTACATGCTGGGGCTATGTGGGGGGAGGAGAGTGCTTGGATAAAAAGCTCTCTACCTTTCAAATTCTCCTCTGTACTCAGATATAGCATTAGCCAAGAAATGGAGCCAAGAGACAGGAGTAAATACAATTGGTTAAGCAGGTAAGCTTTGGTTTTTTAAAGGGTCTTTCTCTCATTTTTCATGGTGACTCTGCCCATTGGGACCCTCCCCTCCCCTCCCCTCAAATTTACTATCTTTTTTTTTTTTTTTGAGTTGGAGTCTCACA